CGGTGTAAAGAATAAACCGTTCAATCAATGATTTAATGATGAAACTAGGTGACTCACCCGCACCTTGTGCGGGAATAAAAATGGGCAAAATTAGCGTTGGCATGCTTTGATCACATGTAGTGCACAAAAACAAAGGCTGGATATCAACATCAACATTGTTTGTAGGTATTACTTTTGTTGTAGTATTAACAGTTCAATTTATATTCATTGATAGTCATAATGGTAATGGAAGTCCCAACCAGTTCCTAATGACAATATGTCAAAAATCTTCGTCAGAATGTTAGCAAAAAGAATCTTGTCATGTTGCCTGGATAAAACAATGAAAAATGTAGTTCATATACGTCAGTAATATGAATGATATATCTATTGATTAACAACTCCTTAAGAACAAAACATCCAGAAAAAGATGATGTAGTAGTAAGGGTGTTCAATCGGAATTTTGGTTCAATTTCTGTTTAATTTTTTGATTTTTTGGTATTTTGGTTTATAAAACAAACTACCATATTAAAACCATATAGACTTTGTTTGGGTTTGGTATATATACCGTCGGTTTTCGGTCCTTTCAGTTTTACACCAAAAAACCATATTTGTCTTTTATAATATTTTTTGAATTTTACTTAATATGATTAAATACCAACTTTAATAAAACAGAACAAAAATCAGTTTTAAAATAGACTATTTTATTTTATTTTTAATTAAATATTTTAAATAATTAATAAACATATTAAGTTAATAATAATAACATTTTTCAGAAATAAAATAGGAAAAATAGTAATAATATCATTATATTATTAAATAACTAAATATTAGCACACATATTTGTCAACGGAAAAAGTAAACTTGTTTTGTATAATCTGATAAAAATGAAAAAATAACTTTTAACATAAAAAATTAATATCAAATTACTACATCAACTTTTTAAGTATCATATCAATAACTTTACGACAATGCATGACCGTTGTCTAGATCGTCTTCATATTTTTGATCAGATTTTATTTAATTAAAGCATGAATTCTTGTCACATGTTTAAACATTAAAAGGTTTTTGTGGATCAGTTAAAAATAAAATAAAGTACCATGCAAATAATTAGTAGAATTAGTAGCTATCAAAAACATTGCAATTCAAAATATATTTAAGGAAAAAACTAAATCTTCGTAAAAATGACTTTGCCATTTAAAATTTGAATTAGTAATAATAACTATCTTCTTTCTTATCGATAAAACCATTTAGTGATATTTTCTGGTTTCTTTGTTAAATTTCATCCACAAGTGAATGATCTTAACTTCAATACGCCATGTTTCTGTAAATGATTTTTATGTCTTTAGCATAAGAGAAAAAAACACATTTTTGTATGTCTAACCATTGCCATTATTATTTTTAATTGATATATCAAAAGAAGAGATATTTGTATGATAAAATCTTGGTGACCAGAATTATACACTTAGAACTTTGATGTTCTCTTTTTTTTTTACATCAAAATATTAGCCAATTACTCAAACTTGAGATGGTTGAAGAATTCAGACTGGAATAGAACAATCAATAAAAACTAAATTCTATAGAAAGCTCGAGCCGTCGTGGACAATCTATCTGTTAGCCGGTTAGGGAGCCACTAAAGTGGCTTCTCATTAATATATAGTGGGATGTAAATATGATATTTTAAATATAAAAAATACTCTAATCATTTATAAAAAATGATAACTCAACTATAATATCACATTGTCAGTTACAATGATTGAAATTTTTTAAAATTATATATTTGATTGTTTTACATTCCTTTGGTAGATTTTTATAATATATGTATATAGTGAGAGAAATATTATTAGTTCTATTTATTAGTTTTCTGTAATCTATGATTTATTGTATACACTATAAATATAATATTTTCAAAACCGTTTATGTAGTATCATATGTATCTATATTTATATTATAAATTTTTATAACGTAATCTGTGATAATCAATGGTTTCAACAAAAACAATTATGTAAATTCATTTAAATTTAAGATGTTTGATTGTTTATTTGGTAACATATATAATATTAGGTAACTCTATGATTAGTTTCCTTTTAAACACTTGATTTAAATAAATAAAAATTCAAAAACCAACAACCAATCAAATTAAGAGAATTAATTCTAAATTTCACCTATGAGTGACACCTAAGCAAAAATCAATAAAGTGACTTCTCATTTAATATATAGTAGGATGTAGAAGAAGCATCGATATATATTAGTGTACCAATTGGACATGATAAACGGTCTAAATGATAAGTGTACATGTAGGTGAATTAACTTTCGTTAAACCGTTTAGAACATTATATATTAGAGGTGGTCGTATCCTTTATATATTAGAGGAGAAGCATTTTTGATAATATGTTTACACTATTGGGTGTGGTTGGTAAGTATTAGAGTAATTGAGTGTAAAGAGAAATTGAGAGGAAAAGAAAAAGTGGGAATTAGAGTACATGAGAGTTAAAAAAAAGGTTATTGGTAATAGATTAGAGTAAATGAGAGTAAACAAAAGTAAATGATTAATAATAAAAATTTAATATTTATTAGGGTAATTTTCTTAGATAGACATTTTTAAAATTTTGTCACAAAAATAGAATTTAAAAACTAAAATGACCAAAACATCATTTTTTATTTGAAAGTTTAATTTTTTTTTATTTTTAAAAATTTGAAATTTTATTCCCAAAATCTCACTCCTCAATTCTAAACCATAAACTTAAACTATAAACCTTAAACCCTAAACTCTAAACTTCACATTCTAACTCTAAATCCTAATGTCTAGATTAATTAACCCTAATGGTATAAGTGTATATTTATTTCTTTTGCAAAAACATTTAAATTTTGGTCATTTTTATTTTTAAAATCTATATTTGTGACAAAAACTCTTTTAGATCTATCCTAGGAAATTTTTCTATTTATTAACATAAAATATAACAAAATCAAAATTAAATTAAATTATAAGACATAACATAATTTTAAATATATTACAATACAAATATAAAGAAACACAATCTTTACAATAAACAAATATATATTTAAATTATGGTAGATTTAATGTCGGCGTCGAGGTCTACGTTGATTTGCAGCCCATATTTGTTCAGCAATTTGATTACGAATTATTTGCATATACGTCCCAGCTTCTGATTCTTCTTCTCCTCTGAAAGTATTATTTTCATCATTCTCAATATCGGCTTCTTCACCATCATTCTCGATATCAATATCGTCAAAATAAGAATCTTCAAAATTATGCTGACGAATAAAATTATGTAAGCCCATCGTAGAGAATATTACACTTCTTTGCGTGGCGATATCATACCTAGGAAATTCATTAAGAACCCTCCATTTTTTTTTCCAAATTCCAAATGTTCGTTCGATAACATAACGTAGAGATGCATGACACTTATTATACATTTCTTTGCTGGTTCTAGGTGGTTGACCATTTTTAAATTCTTGAAGATGATATCTTGTGCTCTCTCCAAATTCTTTTCGAAACAGAGCTAAATATCCAGGTCTATTAGCATATCCAGAATCGACGAGATAATATTTATTTTCCGGAGGTACATGAAACATCGGATCGTCTCGTATTGCAGTCGCCAACACTCGGGAATCATGTGTAGATCCCGCCATTCCAACATAACAATATGTGAAAAGCATGTCATAATCACATATGGCCAAAACATTAAGGCTGGAAATTCCTTTTCTATTTATAAAGCGGAGACCTTCTCGACCTGGTGAGACCATAACTGGTACATGTGTTCCATCAAGAGCACCAACAAATCCATGAAAATAAGTTCCATATCTTGCATCCCTATGAAAACAGTTGGAGATTGCTGTAAGTTCTTGCGGTGTTCGTGGTCGTACATAATATACAGCCATTCGCTCCATTGCTTGAAGAACATCATGAAAATTTCGCCAAATTGTCTCTTGCAAACGTCCGAACCTTAGTGCAATATCACGTTGACTATCGTTTTGTGCACAAAGGATTAGAAATATTGCTACACTCTCATCAAGATCTATGCGGCCCGTGGCTCCTAACCCATAATTCTCATGCAGTATTCCACACAATCGTGTGAAAGCCTCCGGATGCATCCTCATAAGTGTTGACATGAAATATCATTATCATAAATTTGACCTCGTATAATAAGCCATCCTTTTCCTTGATCCGAACTCGTGGGTCGCTTACAAAAATTTCTTGAATAATATAGCAACATAGGAGATATGCAGGTGTTCATAGCATCTTGTTCTTCTTCTAGTAAGATCAACTCCGCAATCTCTTCATCATTAAGATTTTCGACTCCGTTTGAACGTAATTCAGCAATTCAAAATTCCTGATAATTCATGTAAAAAGTAGATTTAGAAATTAAAGAAAAAACATATATTCACCAATAACTATACATAAAAAAATAAAATTTATTAATTCACCAGCAACACTAATTTTGACCATCATTGCCCTTACTCTTATTAAAAAAATTTAACATTTCTGGAACATTTCAAGAACTTGATCCTGGAAATCTATGAGAGTTCATGTCAAGTAACCCTGAGTCGAAGTTTCCAAAGTTATGAGAAGTTTAAGAGTTAAATCCTCTTGATGATTGACTAGGCAAATTGTTTTGCATGTCATCATAGTCATCTTCATTGATGTCGCCTAAGGAAAATCCTTGATCTCCAACAATCCTCCACCATCAGAACCTCCTCCCACAGATCCGCCACCACCTGATTCACCACCAAAAGATCCACGAGAACCATAGGCAGAACCATCCGATCTTACATGACTACTTCCACTTGTGCTGCTCGCAACTCGTAAATTAACAAGCTCACAAGGATTTCCATATCTATCAACTCCGGATAGCCTCTCTAAGTGCCAAATTTTATTCTCTTCGCTTCGTAATTTCATAAATCCATCACGAATATCTTCATTGTTCATCAACAACTTGTTTGCCACCCACCAAAATGTATTCATTGGCTCGATAGGCAAATATTCGAGTACAGAAAGTGCATCACCATATGTTGGTTTTGTATTGACTTGAGCGCATAACATCTAGTAACTGCCCACGAGATTCTTTCATTCGTTGAAATATTCCATCAATTTGAGCCTCAAAATTGGATCTTCTTATATGAGCACGCCGTGTTGATAATGTATTACGAACACCTGAAGATGATCTTCTAGTCGTGTATGGAGAATGATGACTTACTTCTCTTCCAGAATGAAGAGGTGACCGTGAAATTCTTGGTTCCTCTTCATCAGATGCACTTAAATTAAGATTGACAGAGGGGTATGAGGTTCGGCCATATTCATCTGTTCCACCGAGATGAATATCATCATTGGTTGTTTCATCAATTTCTGTGTGCTGGAAATGAACGCCAAGCATGTATGGTGAATAATGATCATCTTGTTCCACATCATGTTCACCGTATATTTGATCAAGTAAATTTTTGAAGGGAAGAATATTATTTTGCAACACAGTTATATATTTGCGATTGCTTGGAGCAACTTCCTGAAAAAATTGATACAATATATCATATAATTAATATTTATATATATTGAGCTATATATAGTAACATATGATAAATTTTATATTAAAATAGAAAAACTTAAATTATATAATTACCGCGCATCGGTCTTCCCACCTTGATGTTAACATATTAATTTTTTCCTGTTGATTGATCAATATCTACTCATGTACGTCGGCTTAGCATGTTGTTGTACTGCCACAACCTTCTTAAATAATCAATTCTGCCTTTCATCTCCGGCTTCCATTTAACTGACTCTCCAGTTAATTCATAAAAAAATTTCTTCTATTCTTTTTTCCCCGGACCTGATGGTAGTCTAATTGTATAGTCTTCCGCTTCTAATTCAGAGATTATAAGTTCAAGTAGAATTCGTGTAGTTCTAGGCGTCCATTTATGCTAAATCACTTTAAAATAAATTTATTATTAAATATTAATTAATATAAACAAAATAAAATTTTTAAAATTAACTTACATTATTTGTTGGAACATCACCACTTGTTCCTTCTCCATGATTTGATGATCTTCCATACCTACTTCTCGAACCACTGCCACGAGTAATGATCCATCATGAACACAGCCTCTACCACTACTTGAACGTGCGTTTTGCGATCTATTACATCTGTAATAGTAAATAAAGAACATCATCTTACAGAAAAAGAAAATATAAATGCTAAAATAAATTTATACATTGCTTAAAACTATTATTCATTTAATAAATTTTACTTTTTATTGATTACAAACAAACGACTACATGTATATTGTATACTGTTGTGACATATTTAATATTTTTTAAATAATGTTGGTCAATGTTTTTAATAAGCAAACACAATAACAAATTTAGAAATGATTGAGTTTAGCTTTTAGTAACTAAAGTCAAAAATATATTTATTTACGAACTCTTCAAACATATGTAATTTATATTTTCATTATATACAGTACATATTATATACAATTGTTCATATTACATCTATTTCAATTATAAATTCATAACTAAATATTCTTTTTCATTTAAAAAAATAGTATATATATAATTAAAAGATTTAATTTAAATACTGATATATATATATATATATATATATATATATATATATATATATATATATATATATATATATATATATATATATATATTTATATTAATATACCTTAATAGTTTGGAAGTGTTTATATTAAGCTGAAGAATATTCAAGAATCGGCAAAGGTTATTATGTTCATGTGTTTTCTTCTCAAAGAAAACAGAAATGGGAGGAAGAGATTTAAGTGTAATGTTTTTATGAGTTAAAGAATCAACTTATCACATCTTTATATACATAAATAATATAATTTTTAAATAATAAAAAGGATAAGAAAGTGGTCCACTTGAGATACCTCTTGGATAAGGAGGATGACAATTTAACACCATCTGGAGCGATAATGGGAGTAAACATTATCTATTTTTGGGCTTTTTTTGCAAAATTGACTCAAAACTCAAAGTCAAACACAAAACTAATTTCTTCTTTTGACTCATCTTTCTTTTTCCCTATTCACCCCACATCTTCATTTTATCTACGAAAATTCCATTAAAATTTTTTTATAATTTTTTTCGAAAATGGCTTTTTTACTCTCTCAGCCTCATCATATTTAAGTATTTACAACATTGCCATTGCCATGAATACGCCCAACAACCTTGTACAACCCAACAACCTTGTACAACCAGGTTTGAAGCTTTTAATGCACTTAAAATCGATACCCATACTCACTTTCTCAATTGTTATGAACTAAAAACAACATCTCCTTCACTTTGTCTCCATATTCATACAAAAAAATCAAGCTTTTGATTTCAAAATTTTTATGGTTGATAGAGCCATTTAAACATACAATTCTTGGTGGGTTACTTTCGTTTGATGTTCTGGGTGGTTGGAGAAGACTCTGTGTGCAAAGGAATTCATCTCACCTAGTTTAAGGTATGAAATTGAAATACCAGATCTGTTCGCGTAGAAGACTTACCCGTAAGTCTTCTGGATGTAGAAGACTTACGGATAAGTCTTCTGGTCAAACAGACGACTTACGGATAAGTCGTCCAGCTTTGTATGTTAAAAAAAAAGCTTGATGACTTATAAGTAAGTCATCTAGGAAAAACGGGCTAGTTTTGCATTTGACCGAATTGTGTCAGATATTTGACTTTTCCTGGACGACTTACCTGTAAGTCGTCTCTGGGAAAGTTAAAATTTCAATATTTTATTAATTCAAGACGACTTACGGATAAGTCGTCTTAGATTAGTTTTGTAATTGAAAAATAAAACTTTAATTATAACTTTTCTCAAAAGACTTAATTTAAAGTCTTCTGGATCGTCCAGCCAGATGACTTATTATAAAGTCGTCCGTGATAAGCAAAGTCGTCCAGAATTTTTTTGGTCAAACCTTGCTTATCACGAATGACTTTATAGTAAGTCGTCTGGCTGGACGACCCAGACGGCTTTAAATTAAGTCTTTTGAAAAATTTATAATTAAAGTTTTATTTTACAATTACAAAACTAACCTAAGATGACTTATCCGTAAGTCATCTTAAATTAATAAAATATTAAAATTTTAACTTTCCCAGAGACGACTTACTGGTAAGCCGTCTAGGAAAAGTCAGATATCTGACACAATTTGGTCAAATGCAAAACTAGCATGTTTTTCCTAGACGACGACTTACTTATAAGTCATCAAGCTTTTTTTTAACATACAAAGCTAGACGACTTAGAAGTAAGTCGTCTAATTTAAATTTCAATTGCAAAAATGACCTGTCTGGAAGACTTATCGTTAAGTCGTCCGGATGACTTACCGTTAAGTCTTTCTCTATGTTTTCTAAAGTGTTTTTATTTTGAATTTTTTTGTAGATGATTCGTCAGTTACATGCAATGTATGGAGAATAGTTGTTCAAAGATGGCTGTTGGGATTTTGTGGTTGATAATTTCAAAGGAGCGAGAATGTTTTTTTTGAGTGAAGGTTCGACACATGCTGAACTTGTATCAGTGGCTCAAGAAGATTATAACCTGGACATGAGCACAGTCACTGTGGAGATAAGCTACTCATTACCAGCACAAATGAGGATGGCTCCAGCCACCCTTCCCATTCATGTTACAAGTGATAGAAAAGTTCGAAACTTGCTCGAGATACTTAAAACGCATAGAGTATGTCTTTGTGTATAAAGCCGTAGCAATGTGGAAACGGTTTCAGAGGAAAAGGAAGAAGCTGATGAATGGTTTGAAGATGATGAAGCTGATGAATGTTTTGAAGATGATGATGATAATGAGTTGGTTGAAGATGAAAATCATGATGGGGATAAGGATGATGGGGAGGAGGATGCTGATATCTCTATTGTTTCTGAAACGGACGAGAATGGTGAGGATTACAGTGTTTATGGAAAGGTTAAAGATGAGGATGAGGAAGAAGATGATGATATTTGTTTTGAAGATTTTGAAAAGACATATGCTATTGAAGGAGGAAAATCGAATGGTAATAATATCTATGTCAACCAGAGTTTTGTTAGCAAGGATACACTGCTTTCAGAGCTGCGGTTGACAGCATTGAGGCGTAAGTTCTCCTTCAGAATATACAAGTCAACAAAAAATCTCCTTGTGGCAACATGTCGGGTTAGTGGTTGTGGATGGAAGATCAGAGCGAGTGTGAAACATGGACAAACACGTTTTGGGTAACAAAATATGTGAAAACACATACATGCTCAGTGGGAGACCGAATCGCTCAGCGGAGACACTGTACTCCAAAGTATGTTGGTAGGCTTTTCATTGACCGTGTTGGAATCATTGATGGGTTGACTCTGCAGCATATCACTGATGCAATGAAGAACATGTTTGGCATGACGCTTGATTACACCACTTCATACAGATCACTTTTATATGCACAGACATTGGTGAGTGGATCCGTAGAAGATGGATATTCGCGTCTGTCATCATATCTTGAGCAAATCTCCTTAGCAAATCCCGATTCTATCACGGCTATAGAAATTGATTCTATCAATAGATTTAAGTATTTATTTCTCTCTTTTGGAGCTTCTATCAAAGGTTTTAAGTATCAGAGAAGGGTCATTGTGGTGGATGGGACTCACCTAAGTAGGAAGTATGGAGGTGTTTTGTTAGTTGCAGCCGCACAAGATAAGAATTTTCAGATATTTCCATTGGCTTTTGCGATTGTAGACGTTGAAGATGAACCTTCTTGGGAATGGTTTTTCACAAAATTGGCTAGTTGTGTATCTAATGAGCAGCCTCTGGTGATAGTCTCCGACCGGCACCCGGCCATTAAAAGTGCGTGTGATAAGGTGTTTCCTTGGGCAACCCGAGGAATATGTTATTATCACCTTCAAGAAAACATTGTCAAAAAGTATAAAGGGAAACATCTGTTGTACTTGGTGAAAGGTGATGCTTATGCTTATACGGTTTCAGATTTTGACCGGTACATGGCTGAGATACGGAGTGCAACCCCAGACCTTGCAACGTATTTGGACGATGCCGACGTCAGCCTATGGTCAAGGGTTTATTGTCGCGGGGACAGGTACAACATAAAAACAAACAACATCGATGAATCTATTAATTCCGCACTAATGCGAGCTAGAGGATTCCGATTCAATTCCTGTTGGAGTTCATAAGGGAGAAGCTAGGCAAGTGGTTTTGGAAAAGGGGAGAAGATGCTTTGAGTATCCTAACAGATCATAGTCGGGGTGTTGAATACTTGCTTGCTGTTCGATCTGAGGTAATGGATACGATGAGGGCCCAACCAATTGATAGATGTAAATTCTTTGGGAAAAGTGGCAAAATGGACTGTGTGGTTGATTTGGAGAGTGGGAAGTGTGATTGTGGTGTCTATCAAGTGGAGAAAATGCCTTGCTCTCATGCTATAGCTGCTGGATCACATGCTCGTCTGCATATTTCCACTCTTGTACATCCAGTGTTCTCAAAGAATTCTTTGTTTGCAGGATACTCAGAGAATATATATCCTTGTGCTGGACAACAAGTTGAGGAACGCACATGCGATCCTCCGGCCGAAAAGCGTGGTCCGGGGAGACAGAAGAAATCAAGATGGCAATCTTGGTTGGAGCTGACCCAGATGAGAGGACGCAAACCCCGGAAGCAACACTAGGTTTATAGATGCTCAGTATGAAGAGAAACTGGCTATACGAAAGCACAATGTAAAGAATGACTTTTAATTAAGTCATCCAGAAGAATTTGTGTTATGAATCTATGTATTAAGAATTTTTGTTATGAATCTATGTATTAAGAATTTGTTTTATGAATCTATGTATGTATTAAGGATTTGTTTTATGAATTTATGTATGTATTAAGAAGTTGTCTGAAAAACATTCCGACTGGATTTCCAGACGACTTAATTATTAGTCGTCTACTAAGTCGTCCAGGCTTTATGAGTATGTTTTAAGTATTTGTGTTAGACTTCTCGGACGACTAATAATTAAAAATATTCTGGCTGAATAACTTTCCAGACGACTTAATTATTAGTCGTCTACTAAGTCGTCCAGGCTTTATGAGTATGTTTTAAGTATTTGTGTTAGACTTCTCAGACGACTAATAATTAAGGAACAAAATTAATTGAAAGTCTTCTGTACAACAAACACAACATATAACCAAGTTCGAATAAACACAACATACAACAAGCATCCTAAACATCAGCCTAATAAAGTTCGAATACACACATCAGCCTAATCATAAGCACCCATCTCATCAAAATTATCCTTGTTTTCATACAAATGCGGCAGAGAGAGCTCATTAAATATATCCACAGCCATCTTATTCCTAATAGCCTTCACGTTGGCGTTGTTCTTAGAAAAGTCTTTTGCATTAAATGACAGACCAAGAGCATGACATTCAATGTATTTTAGAGCGTAGACGCCACAATCACCAGCTCGGGCCTGAGGCACATTGGGTGCACGTTCAAATGTGAATGGCTCCAGGGAGTATTGGGAACGCAGCTCATCATCGGTAGAGCCCTCAACAAGCAGATAAGGGACCATGTGCTGAAAAGGCTCCATTACCACTTTGAGTTCTTCGTCGAAGATAGAGGAACAAATGCTGTCCCAGATGACGATGTGTCTCTTAGGGATCGATATCCATATAGCAATCCAATGACGTCTACAAAGAAGACTTACCGGACGACTTAACGGTAAGTCGTCTACGTGGAATTATAGTCAAAAGATATCAGACGACTTACACAATCATGCAGCCAAGATAAGGAGGTTCGGAGGATGCGATACCACTTAGTTGGTGATGTACGTGGTTTATCCTCGAAAGGTGTGTCATAGTGACTGCAAACACAAAGTGTTGAAAAGCAATCAGTTTTGTAGACTAAAAACAAGCTATTATGGGAAAACAATCACTTACAGATCAGTTTTCAACCAGTCAGTGAGCTCCTTTAATTTGATCATGTTAACTGATCC